CTTCATCGCCGATTGTGACCGTCGTACGGAACAAGCCAAACAGCGACTGGCGGAGACGCAGGAGGAACTGAGCGCGGAGGTGGCGGCGAAGGCGAACAACGTCCACGTGCTCGCCGAGGAGATCGGTAAGAAACTAGCCAAGGCCGAGCAACTCGGCGAAGAGGGCTTTGTCGAGGAGTCGATGAAACTAATGGGCGAGATCGACGAGCTGCGCAAAAAGAAGAACGAAGCGGAACAGGAGTACCGAAATAGCATGCCGGCGTCAAGTTATCAGCAACAGAAATTGAGAGTGTGCGAAGTTTGCAGCGCATACCTTGGGATTCATGATAATGACAGACGACTGGCGGATCACTTTGGTGGGAAGCTCCATCTCGGTTTTATCAAAATTCGTGAGAAACTCGCTGAACTTCAAAAAACCGTTGAGGAGAGGCGTAAGGAGAAACGTGAATCTCTGCTCGACAGAAGACGGGACAGAGACAGGGAGGACCGCGACAAAGACCGCGATAGGGACAGGAACCGCGGAGGATTGGGCTACAGGGATCGTGACCGTGATAGAGATCGCGACCGTGACCGCGATCGGGACCGTGACCGTGACCGCGATCGCGACCGTGACCGTGACCGCGATCGCGATCGTGATCGTGACCGCGATCGCGATCGCGAGCGTGATCGGGACCGGGAACGCAGGGATAGCGGTAGGAGAAAGTCACGATCTCGCAGTCGCAGTCGTGGAAGAAGGTTTGTGAATTTCATGTCTTTCTGATATTGTAACGAGTTAAAAATGTAGATCATCGTTCCTCTTTCAAATCTGAGTGAATTAAAATTGGCAAAATTTTCAAAGTGCAAATGTATCTCCCATGAGATATGCTCTTTTTAACTGAACTTGTTGCTCTCTTTAACATGAAAAGAAAAAGAGGAAGGACGAAGAAGTTTAACTGAAAAGAATAGGCCTATCGTCTAACAGTGTACTTGATATTTTTCTTGTTCCAGATCAAAACGTTCCCGTAGTGGCAGTCACAGCCGTCGATCTCGTTCTCGTCGCAGTGGATCTAATGATCGTAAGAGATAAGGGACAAGATGTATAAGGACTATGCTCAATGGTTTCGTTTCCTTCTTCACACGCGCACTTTCATACATGTGATTTAATGTATAACACCAAGTCGCGCGCACGAGACATTTGCGCCGAAACGTCCGTAGCAAATGCGATACTCCATTTTGACATAATCTTTGTACATTACTTGTCATCCAATTGATATTTTAACGTAACCTACTATTTATGCCGAATCTATTTCTATTGAAATATGTCTGTCTTACATTTCTTTTAGATCTATTCTATATGTATAATCTGTTTTGGCTTTTAAAATAGTTTTAATTCACTGTAAATAAGAATAGCTTAAGTACAACTTATATTGGCAGTTGTTATATGTTTATCATATTTGAGCATATACAATAATAAATAGTGGCAGCGTATAAGTACTCGGCGTTGTATTATTCTCCAGTTCAAACAAAATACATCCAATTAAATTAAACCTCCGTTATAAAAGCATTAAACTTTCAATAAAAAACCAACAAAAAACTTTTAATACTAATTTCTTTTATTTTATCGTAGTTATATTCCATATTACAAAACATTATTTTGGAAACCAAACTAAATTTTGAAATGGCGAATATTTTAAATTTTTGCGCGTGGATAAAAGCACAATTTCATTCAGATAAAAGATAGCCTCGAAAAGTACTTAACGAAAATGAACTTTATTGTAGTGTATTAAAAAGCTCTTGATATTAGCTATTAGATTCTGAAATTAAAAATGGATGTCCCATTTAAAAAAATTAATATGACCTTGACTTGACCTTGGCGACGCCACTCAAGATGTGTGATCGGGGTAAATAAATTTTTAAATCCTACAACTTTCGTTTAAATCATTTTTCCCAAAAGTGCTTTGTTTCTGAGATATTTTACCGGACTTTTTATTTATCTTATAGTAAAATATATGTATGTATATAAGGCTCAGTTGCATCAATGTCACTTTGACTTTAAGCGAGACTTAAAACTCTGTCTCGTTTTAAAGCCAAAAAGAGACAGAGACAGAAAGAGTTTTAAGTCTCACTTATAGCGTATTTCACTGGTTGCACTGGTGCGCACTCAGTGCACATTAAGGCTGTTGTACACTATTCTAATCTT